CAAGAGATTGGTGCAAAAACTGGGGACCAAGCAGGGATAACAGTGAAGCACTACAATGGATCAGGGACATACTTGTCGGAAGACAGCAGCGAGTCATGGACGTGGCGAGGTGTCAGAGTGGGCACCTGTGACCAGCGGGGTCCCGCAGGGGTCAGTCCTAGGACCAGTGCTGTTTCTGGTATTTGTGAACGACATGACGGAAGGAATAGACTCTGAGGTGTCCCTGTTTGCAGATGACGTGAAGTTGATGAGAAGAAATTCACTCGATCGAAGACCAGGCAGAACTACAAAGGGATCTGGACAGGCTGCAGACCTGGTCCAGCAATTGGCTCCTGGAGTTCAATCCCACCAAGTGCAAAGTCATGAAGATTGGGGAAGGGCAAAGAAGGCCGCAAGACGGAGTACAGTCTAGGGGGTCAGAGACTACAAACCTCATTCAAGGAAAAAGACTTGGGGTGAGTATAACACCAGGCACATCTCCTGAAGCGCACATCAACCAAATAACTGCTGCAGCATATGGACGCCTAGCAAACCTCAGAACAGCATTCCGACATCTTAATAAGGAATCATTCAGGACCCTGTACACGTGTACGTTAGGCCCATATTGGAGTATGCGGCACCATTTGGAACCCACACCTAGCCAAGCACGTGAAGAAACTAGAGAAAGTGCAAAGGTTTGCAACAAGACTAATCCCAGAGCTAAGAGGTATGTCCTACGAGGAGAGGTTAAGGGAAATCAACCTGACGACACTGGAGGACAGGAGAGATAGGGGGGACATGATAACGACATACAAAATACTGAGAGGAATTGACAAGGTGGACAAAGACAGGATGTTCCAGAGATTGGACACAGTAACAAGGGGACACAGTTGGAAGCTGAAGACACAGATGAATCACAGGGATGTAGGAAGTATTTCTTCAGGCACAGAGTAGTCAGTAAGTGGAATAGTTTGGGAAGCGATGTAGTGGAGGCAGATCCATACATAGCTTTAAGCAGAGGTATGATAAAGCTCACGCTCAGGGAGAGTGACCTAGTAGCGATCAGTGAAGAGGCGGGGCCAGGAGCTCGGACTCGACCCCCCGCAACCTCAACTAGGTGAGTACAACTAGGTGAGTACACACACACACATACACACACACACACACATACACACACACATACACACACACACACCACACACACACACAACACACACACACACACACACTCACACACACACACACACACACACACACACACACACACACACACACACACACACACACACACACACACGATCCTCCACATGACAGGATGTCAACAAGGCCACCATTACAGCCATCGCTTGTCACATACAAAAAAATATTGACATATACGAGAGTGTTTGGGAGACTATAGCGGCAGCGAGGCCAGCCTTGAGGTGTTGCCTGCCACACAACACACAAATGGAATAAATATTAGCACGAACCAACATCAAAAACTGTCAATGAAAAAGGCGGGTTGAGGCCTCGTCTCAGCTCAATATCTAACACTCGAAAGTGACGTATAGGTTGACTTCACACCCTTATTTTTCTTCTTATGTAATTTTTTCAATATTAATTTTGTTTTGCAATGGCCGTAATTATATTCTGAGCCTATGATTATTTTTTTTTTGTAATCAGTAAAGTAACTTAAGTTAACCTAACCTAGAATTTAATTTCTAATCTTGGTTAGTTCTTTTTTTTCGGCTACCCAAAAATAAACTTTTCCCTACTGACCCAAAATATATTATTTTTTATTGCACAATTCACATAATATTTTAGAATTTACATAATACTCTACCACTAAGCTCGAATCTCAAGGACCTCAACTCAGTATGAGCAGACATAAGACCGAAATGCGGACAGAGGCTTTCCTGTTAATAATTAGCATGATTTTAGTGTGGCCGACATAGCTGATGTTTCAACGATCCCAAATAATCGACAACAAAATTATTCCACTACCTCGCATCTGATGATACGATCATTAACTTTCACTGAACTAATATTTTCATCAGTTTTTACAGCTACTGACCATTAAAAATTCTTCATCATAGCTTCTATATTGTTTTCACGTATATAAATACGTTTTCCAATATCACATTTCCTTCTCTCTTGTAATGACAGTGACCTCGCTCTCATTAGACACTTCGAAAAACACAGACATGATATTCATACGAGAAACAATTACTGAAGAGTAAATCTATATTATTAGTCGACATTTTCAGAAGCAAGTGTCTTTTTTAACAATACATGTTGGAAATACTTGCCTTCCTACCCACTTCAAATTCCTGGTATATAAGAGCCGTTCCTGGTATATAAGAACCGTGTCTCGTTATAAACACAAATAATCAACATTCCATTACCAGCCAGGGCTTTTTTGAGGTTCGGAAATCCATTAGTCGAGTTTCACTCTAAAAATCCTCATCCCATGGGCCACAAAACACCCAAATGACTGCATAATGAAGCTCAGGATTTAGTGGATAAAGTCGACTTGGTGATCACTCGCCAGTGTAGAAGTGACGGGGGTGACAGGTCGTCAGGTGCACGAAAATCAGTCACCGTGACTAGAAGCAATCACAGTTAAGGTACAAATGTGGGGATTATGAATCTGGAGGGCGTTTCAGTCCTTTCCGGATACATGTAAGGAATGACTTGATACTAGGCCAGGGAGGACCGAAACGTTCTCTAATTGCTTCACCGATTTGTGTTCGTTTGAGAAAGGTTAGATGTTGTGTTAGTTGATGCTGGTGCCAGTGTAACATCTAGCAGCATCCGTGAAGCAAGAGATGTTGGCAGAGAGTTACCTCCTCCCAGGAAAACGTATAGATTTGTGAGAAGTGGCACTGTTTCTTAGGTTAACCTATATGTTAACCACTAAGGCTAACCTGCTTGTTAGCCACTAAGGTTAACATAAGACTCTGAAAAAATAACTATGGCAAAACCTCTTATTCACGGTTTCTTTAAGGGGCACGTCAGTTCCCCTGTCTTCTAATGATGCTTATTTTTCCACTATAATCTACCTTATCCATAATTACTAACATATTTTTTTTTGTCAGCTTTCATAAGGATCTTTCCTTAATTCATGTATAACAAATACACTTGTATTTGTTAAGTTATACCATGAATTAAAGGAAGATCCTGGACGTCATCTTACGAAAGCAGACAAAACAAATGCGATAGTAATTATTAGGAGACAGGAAAAATCCACTCACCTCCTAATAATCTTTTTCTGTCTTCCGCTGAAGGAGAACACGTACACATGATCTTCCCAAGAATCAAGGCCGTATTTAGACACGGTTAGGACCTAAACTATGGGAAGTTTTAGAGGCCATATCTGGCAGGTGTTAACAGTGAATAAGACTGTGTAACAACAGATCTTGGCAAAACTGCCACCCAGATGCGCCGTAACAAACCCGTGTGGGCTGGCAGGGTGTATTTAATTCCCAGGAGTAAAATGATGTTGCTAGATGTAATTGCCATAACTTTATCGGAGTTAACCTCATTAACTCTGGTAAAACTTAAGAAATCATATTATAATTTTTCATTGCTTTGATTTTAAACGAAAAATTCGTCACTAATTTCCACAAAAGTTAAGCTAACTTCTTAAATTCTATATTAATTTTTATATTTTTGTTAATTGTCGATAATTAATGCAAGAAGTGTTATCAGATATGCTTTCAGAGACCGATTCAGGCATAAACAAATTAAAATTTTTTTTCTAAAATTTCGAGAGGCTCCTTCAGAATTTGAGGCTCTAAACTGTAGCTTGTTTGGATTATGTCTAATTGCAGGCCTACTTACGATGCTCTGTGAGGCACCAGAATGTCCACACGTCCACCATCCACCGGACACAACAATGTTCATACATTTCCCTATACATACATATAGGTAAAGAAATGCTTATAACAATAAGCATAATTTTTAAAGTGGTGGACTGGTAAACCAGTGGAAGGCGTCAGTCAGATGACTAGAAGCTCCAGCTGTGGGTCATCATATAACTAAGACCCGCGTCAGGAAACACTTGTTCCTGTTTCCTGACGAACCCCAGCAGCGAGAGATAACAGCAAAAACCGGCTACAGCCTAAGTATATAAGGATACTTGACTGTCTCAGTCAAATCGCTTACCAAGTCAACAATTTTACATTGGAAAGAGACCTACCTCTTCCCAGGTGAGCTTGCGTGAGACGTCAGGTCTCAGATTCATGATTTTGAGCTTGACGGCTCGTCTGGTGCCATCTGTGTTGAACTCCAGCTTGGGCGTGGGCAGCTCTCCCCGGTAGTCGATGCTTACGTTCTTCAGGAACCTGACCCAACAAATCGAAGTCTCTTATTAGCATATCAACAGATTTAAAATTTTAGCAGAAATATGAAAGATACGAATCCGTACTCTTTATATCCCAGCCAGGGCGAAAAAAATAATAAATCTGAAGTCTTAAACCGAATCCTAGTATCATTATTAACATTACACTAAGTTTTATCGTAAAGCCTCTCTGTGAGGTATGATTTTTTCGGAATTATGGCTGAAAAAGTACATTCAAAATAGAACAGAGACTTTTATAAAGCCGCTTCTCGTGTACTTTTTCAACCGCATTTAAAAATCTAACTATTTGGAGGCACTTTATAAAAGTCATTCCAACAGAGGCCAATCAGGGCGAGGTGAATGTGGAGGTAATAAGGTTTCATACGAAGAATAGAAATGTAACTTCAATTTTAAATCAGGAAGTGTTTGCCAGCATCAATGTTCTTCCCTCCTTCCTTTTCTCCCTTCCTTCCTCTCAGGAAAGACGAGGAGACCGCAGTTCTGCGAGACCTGGTCAGAGGAGGATCAAGGAGGACGGACACGGTGTCGGGGAAGTAAAGAGATGTTTGGGAAGTTCTGAATCTTAAGATAATTGAAACAAGAGCAGCAGCAGCAGCAGCAGCAGCACCGTGGAGACTGACAGTGGAGGAAGATAGCGATGAGAGGAAGAAAGGATGGTGAAAGATGGAGGAAACGAAAATGTAACAGGAGGCAGATAACAGATGAGAACACGACGTAAAGATCAAGGAGAGGACCCCACAGGACCCAGGGAGAGTACCCACAGGACCCAGGACAGAGGACCTACCTGTAGAACTTCTCACCGCCTCTCCAGCGAGCATCTCCCGTATCGCAAGAGAGTGCAGGTGACAGCGAAGGCGTTACCCCTCTGGTAGCCTCGTCATTGACGTGACCAGTTAATCCCCACACGAACACCGTCATGGCCGTCGTGATCTCCTCGATCATGGCCTCGTCTGTCGTGTTGAAGTGAACACCTGTGAACACAGGGTAGTGGTGAACTGAACACTTGCCAACATAAGACAAACTTACGAACATGTGCACACCTGTGAACACGAGGTAGTGCTGAAGTGAACACAGGATAGTGTTGGAGTGAACACCTGTGAACACCTTTTCCCTTGGTTAATGGGATTTAAGATTAAGAACCACAGAGAATAATGTGATCCTTTCTTAGAACGTTCCCAGATGATGCCAGCTAAAGGCTTTTAATCCAAGAAACAGGAGTTATCCTACCCTTTCTTGCATTAAACTTGAATATTAGTTTAAAAACAACCGTGAACAAAAACTAGAACGACATATATTAGAAAACGTTTCGGTCGCGACCTTGATCACGTTTAACACAAACGTTGACAATAACAGAATATAGGCGGAGGGTTGAGTGTGATACAGTGAGCTGACAAATGCAAGGGAGACTTATTTGAGATGATGACACGAGGTTAATGACGTCAAGTGATTCCTGTGTGTCGCAGGTTGGTCTTGCCTGGATAAGTATTATGTATACCAGTGTGTATTTTGACATTAAGTATATTCCAGCTTCAGTGTATTTTTCAGGTCACTATGTGTCACTCTCACCCCACTTTCTGCCCATAACTATACTGTTATTATGACTCTCTGTGTGTTAGAAGTGACCAAGGTTCCAGGTCAGAAACGTTGGTCACTATGTGTCACTCTCACCCACACTTTCTGCCCATAACTATACTGTTATTATGACTCTCTGTGTGTTAGAAGTGACCAAGGTTCCAGGTCAGAAACGTTGTCTAATAAATATGTCCCAGTGTTTGCTAGAGTGTCTTTCTAAACCAACTTCTCGGTATTAATTGCCAGGGTTTATACCGAACTTGATTGTCCATTACATTTTCCAGGAGTACATAACCCCTGCGACACCAACCTGAATTTCAGGGTCCAAATGCCGCCCCTGAATGAGTTAATTAAGTGTGGCTCTTGGCCTTTTCAACAAACTCGTTTATTGAATATTGTTAGCTTATTAATAGAACATTTTAATAGTAACTGAAAGTGTAAATTGCACTAGAATTAATTAGTAACAACAAGCAGGTTTGTGTAGTCAAAACAACCCAGCAAGAAGGTACTGCTATCTTATGATGTTGTCTGTACCCGTCTGTACATTACGTTCACTCTTTACTATTGTACATTAAGTACATTCAGCCATAGTGATTAATGTTTATAATATCTCGAGTACACTAATGTATTAATATAGGAAATTTTAATGTATACTAATGTATACTAATGTATACTAATGTATACTAATGTATACTAATGTATACTAATGGGTGAAGTTGATTAATATTGTTGTCTGGGTGTCTGCCGCTTCTCCCTGTTCTACTGGGCCCCACCTGTCATGGTCTACTGGGACCCACCTGTCATGGTCTACTGGGACCCACCTGTCATGGTCTACTGGGACCCACCTGTCACGGTCTACTGGGACCCACCTGTCATGGTCTACTGGGACCCACCTGTCACGGTCTACTGGGACCCACCTGTCATGGTCTACTGGGACCCACCTGTCACGGTCTACTGGGACCCACCTGTCATGGTCTACTGGGCCCCACCTGTCACGGTCTACTGGGACCCACCTGTCATGGTCTACTGGGACCCACCTGTCATGGTCTACTGGGACCCACCTGTCATGGTCTACTGGGACCCACCTGTCATGGTCTACTGGGACCCACCTGTCATGGTCTACTGGGACCCACCTGTCATGGTCTACTGGGACCCACCTGTCATGGTCTACTGGGACCCACCTGTCATGGTCTACTGGGACCCCACCTGTCACGGTCTACTGGACCCACCTGTCACGGTCTACTGGGACCCACTTGTCACGGTCTACTGGGACCCACTTGTCACGGTCATACTGGGACCCCACTTGTCACGGTCTACTGGGACCCACCTGTCACGGTCTACTGGGACCCACTTGTCACGGTCTACTGGGACCCACTTGTCACGGTCTACTGGGACCCACCTGTCACGGTCTACTGGGACCCACCTGTCACGGTCTACTGGGACCCACCTGTCACGGTCTACTGGGATCCACCTGTCACGGTCTACTGGGACCCACTTGTCACGGTCTACTGGGACCCACTTGTCACGGTCTACTGGGACCCACCTGTCACGGTCTACTGGGGACCCACCTGTCACGGTCTACTGGGACCCACTGTCACGGTCTACTGGGACCCACTTGTCACGGTCTACTGGGACCCACCTGTCACGGTCTACTGGGACCCACCTGTCACGGTCTACTGGGACCCACCTGTCACGGTCTACTGGGATCCACCTGTCACGGTCTACTGGGACCCACTTGTCACGGTCTTAACTGGGACCCCACTTGTCACGTCTACTGGGACCCACTTGTCACGGTCTACTGGGACCCACCTGTCACGGTCTACTGGGACCCACTTGTCACGGTCTACTGGGACCCACCTGTCACGGTTTACTGGGACCCACCTGTCACGGTCTACTGGGACCCACCTGTCATGAAGTACTGGGACCCACCTGCCCACGGTCTACTGAGACCCACCTGTCACGGTCTACTGGGACCCACATGTCACGGTTACTGAGACCCACCTGTCACGGTCTACTGGGACCCACCTGTCACGGTCTACTGGGACCCACCTGTCACGGTCTACTGGGCCCCACCTTCACGGTCTACTGGGACCCACTGTCACGGTCTACTGGACCCACTTGTCACGGTCTACTGGGACCCACCTGTCACGGTTTACTGGGACCCACCTGTCACGGTCACTGGGACCCACCTGTCATGAAGTACTGGGACCCACTGTCACGGTCTACTGGACCCACCTGTCACGGTCTACTGGGACCACATGTCACGGTCTACTGAGACCCACCTGTCACGGTCTATTTGACCCACCTGTCACGGTCTACTGGGACCCACCTGTCACGGTCTACTGGACCCACCTGTCACGGTCTACTGGGATCCACCTGTCACGGTCTACTGGGACCCACTTGTCACGGTCTACTGGGACCCACTTGTCACGGTCTACTGGGACCCACTTGTCACGGTCTACTGGGACCCACCTGTCACGGTCTACTGGGACCCACTTGTCACGGTCTACTGGGACCCACCTGTCACGGTCTACTGGGACCCACCTGTCACGGTCTACTGGGACCCACCTGTCATGAAGTACTGGGACCCACCTGTCACGGTCTACTGAGACCCACCTGTCACGGTCTACTGGGACCCACATGTCACGGTCTACTGAGACCCACCTGTCACGGTCTAACTGGGACCCACCTGTCACGGTCAAACTGGGACCCACCTGTCACGGTACTGGGCCCCACCTGTCACGGTCTACTGGGACCCACCTGTCACGGTCTACTGGGACCCACTTGTCACGGTCTACTGGGACCCACCTGTCACGGTTTACTGGGACCCACCTGTCACGGTCTACTGGGACCCACCTGTCATGAAGTACTGGGACCCACCTGTCACGGTCTACTGAGACCCACCTGTCACGGTCTACTGGGACCCACATGTCACGGTCTACTGAGACCCACCTGTCACGGTCTACTGGGACCCACCTGTCACGGTCTACTGGGACCCACCTGTCACGGTCTACTGGGCCCCACCTGTCACGGTCTACTGGGACCCACCTGTCACGGTCTACTGGGACCCACCTGCCACGGTCTACTGGGACCTGCCTGTCACGGTCTACTGGGACCCACCTGTCACTGTCTACTGGGCCCACCTGTCACGGTCTACTGGGCCCCACCTGTCACGGTCTACTGGGACCCACCTGTCACGGTCTACTGGGACCCACCTGTCAAGGTCACTGGGACCCACCTGTCACGGTCTACTGGGCCCCACCTGTCAAGGTCTACTGGGACCCACCTGTCACGGTCTACTGGGCCCCACCTGTCACGGTCTACTGGCCCCCCACCTGTCACGGTCTACTGGGCCCCACCTGTCACAGTCTACTGGGCCCCTCCTGTCACGGTCTAGTGGGACCCACCTGTCACGGTCTACTGGGACCCATTTGTCACGGTCTACTGGGCCCCACCTGTCACGGTCTACTTGGACCCACCTGTCACGGTCTACTGGGACCCACTTGTCACAGTCTACTGGGACCCACCTGTCACGGTCTACTGCGACCCACCTGTCACGGTCTACTGGGACCCACCTGTCACGGTCTACTGGGACCCACCTGTCACGGTCTACTGGGACCCACCTGTCATGAACTACTAGGACCCACCTGTCACGGTCTACTGGAACCCACCTGTCACGGTCTACTGGGACCCACCTGTCACGGTCTACTGGGCCCCACCTGTCACGGTCTACTGGGACCCACCTGTCACGGTCTACTGGGACTCACTTGCCAGAGTCTACTGGGACCCACCTGTCACGGTCTACTGCGACCCACCTGTCACGGTCTACTGGGACCCACCTGTCACGGTCTACTGGGACCCACCTGTCACGGTCTACTGGGACCCACCTGTCACGGTCTACTGGGACCCACCTGTCACGGTCTACTGGGACCCACCTGTCACGGTCTACTGGGACCTACCTGTCACGGTCTACTGGGACCCACCTGTCACGGTCTACTGGAACCCACCTGTCACAGTCTACTGGGACCCACCTGTCACGGTCTACTGGGACCCACCTGTCACGGTCTACTGGGACCCACTTGTCACGGTCTACTGGGACCCACCTGTCACAGTCTACTGGGACCCACCTGTCATGAACTCCCGGGACCCACCTGTCATGAACTACTAGGCCCCCACCTGTCATGAACTACCGGGACCCACCTGTCACGGTCTACTGGGACCCACCTGTCACAGTCTACTGGGACCCACCTGTCATGAACTACCGGGACCCACCTGTCTCTGTCTACTGGGACCCACATGTCACAGTCTACTGGGCCCCACCTGTCACGGTCTACTGGGACCCACCTGTCACAGTCTACTGGGACCCACCTGTCATGAACTACCGGGACTCACCTGTCAC